TCTCATCCTCTTGATTGTTTTCATGCTCTTCCATAAACAGTGGTGACTTGTGATGGAGCCACAGGAGAAAGGGCTCTAAAACTCCCAAGAGAGAGGTGGCCACCTTCTGTCTTAGTTCACGAAAGTCACTGGCTGACCCTGTCTGGATCTGGGGTGGGGACGCATCTGAGTGCAGATTAAGGGCTCCAAGGTTTGTGCGTTACACAAACTGCAGGCCAGGCATTCACTGGTTTGCTTCCAAGAGTGCAGCACATTGCTTTATTCCTGGGCCAGAAATGGCTCCCTATGGAGTGTTCTCGTTCATTCCAGGAGCAGAGTTAAGGTCCCGGGATGGCTTTTCCAGGCAGTGAGTGAGGGGCACGGAGCACCAGGGACATGTTCAGGACTCAGCACTAGATATGGTGCACACAGGACTAGCTCCTCCTCCAGTTCCATTCAGGCTCTGTGGGAGCATCAGAGAGTCCCGTGGATGGGCCCCAGGTCGTCTTTACCGGCCCTCCAGTCCTATGTCCTCCCCTTCTTCAACAGGGAGAATGGATTTTGGGGCCCAGAGTTGGACAGGCCACAGTACCTAGGCAGAACTTAATAATCTTCATTGGTTTTCATGGTATTTACTATTTTATTATTGCTTTCTATTTGTGGCAAGTTTCACTTGTAGGTGTATTTAAGTTTGAAAAATGAGATAATTTGAAGAAAAACATGAAACAAAATGGCGTAGGTTGTACGTGGAGTTGGTATAATTCACGTAGGGGGTTCCTAGATGCTTTAAGTTTGGGAACCATTGAACTCAGGTGTGAACGACGAATGGCAGGGCTTTCCCTGAGAGCAAACTTGGAAGAGGGAAGGGAAGACCAGTGCAAATGAGTGCAAGAGTGTGGTCCAGAGTAACGTGGGAGAACTCCACCCGTTTTCTGTATTTGCTGAGAACTGGCTCCTCCTTTGGGCCCCAGGCTGCCTGCTGAGGGGAGAGAAGAGGAAGGAAGTGGGCCAGCCCAGGGCAGGCAGGTGGACGGGCGGGGCAGGTGACCACAGCCTGCTGGCTGCAGTGCGCTGCTGAAACCTGGCTTCACCGGAGAGGAAGTCCTCTCCCTTCCGTGCTCTTGCTCTCTGCTGTCTTATTCCATCTGTTCTCCACTCCCCAATTCTGCGAGGCCAGCCTCCGTTCTCTCCTGGGGGCATATCTCTTTTCTACTGTTCCTCTACATGGTACTCACAGGAGTACCAGCTCTGGCAAACGTACATATTCTAAACTTTTGGACTCAGTGATTGGTTCAAGGCTGGGCTTGTTACCCAAGACAGTCCAAGCAGTCTGGAGGCTGCTCTCCTGCCCGGTTGGGGTTGCTAAGCTGATGGGGGCAGGCAGGGAGCTCCCTGTGAACACAGGGTCCTGAGACTGAAGCCACCACCCACGAAAGCACAGCTGAGAGAAGGAGGAAGGCCTGCTCCCAGTGTCCCCATTTGAGCAACTGCATCCATCTGGGACTGGACTTTCATTTGTGAGCCAATGAGTCCCTCCTTTCCCATTTTATTTGCTGACACCCGTTTGCGCTGGATCTTTGTTGTGAGTAGCTCAGTCTTAATGCACCTCTTTATTACTTGGAAAAACTCCTGTGCTCTGGACTGTTGTCATTATAGCAAAGAAGTCATGGAAACAGGCCCTGGAGATGGGAGATGGGACCTGGGCGGAAATGCCAGCTCGGGAACAAGTGGGCTGCTTGAGCCTCAGCAAGCCCTTCCCTGGGCTGACGTCAGGGTGGCGCACCCGCGCGGAGCGCGTGGTGAGACGGCGGCACAGGCGTGCTGAGTCAGTGTGGCTGCTGACGGGGGTACTGGTGGTCAGGGTATAATCTGAATTACAGTGAAACCCCTGCTGCCTCCAGTGGTGAACGCGGTTTCACTCCCTCGTCTTTGGTGAGGGGTGTGTGCTGTGGGGAGTGGGCTTGGAATTATGGCTTCCACACACCCCAGGGTACGTTTTGATAAAGGCTAACACTGCAGCAAGCGTTCAAGGGTAGAGAGACGCCCCGGTTAGTCCTGCCTGAGTGACACCCAGGGCTGTGGTGGGCCTTTGGGGAGATAAAAGCTCCATCCCCCTCCAGATGGCGTGCTGTGTTCATTCGCGTGGAGCCCAGGTCCTGGAACCACTCTCATCCCTCACAGAAGCCAGCCTGCGGGCTGGACAGACACAAAGAGCCTGGGGAAGGCCAGAGCAATCGCAAAGCAGCCAAGTGTCCTGGTCACGCCGTGCTGGAGCCTTCCCTGCACTGTTCCACGTATCAGCAGATCAAACTTCTGGGAAGAGTTCAGCCTTCAACAGCTTTTCTCACCAAGTGTCCCCCAGCCTGGCAGCCTTGCTGTGAGGGTCTGTGGAATATTCCATCTGTTGGCATATTCCTGCCGCTTTGTCAGAAGCAACTCAGGTGAATAACAAAGGGAGCAGACAGAGCTGCTAGTCAAATGTCTTGTGCTGTCATCGGGCAGGACACCACCTCGCAGTCAGCTCCCCACGCGGCTCCCATGCAGGGCCTCTGAAACCCAAATCTAACCCCTGGCTCCAGGGAGCCCTGGTGCTCTGTACCTCACCAAGTCTGGGCTCTTGTTTGCTTCAGCCCTGGACTTGTGGCCCCAACAGATGGAGGACGGCTGTCTGTGGAATGCAGATGGATGCAACTGATCGCATGTACTGTAAACTTCCCCTTAGAAATCAAATAAGTTATTTACCTGTCAGCGAGACACCATCCCAAACCAGCTGTTGACACCTCTGGTGTTCACTATGGAGAGGGTGCAGGGTGAAGAGGGGACTGTGGCACCCTTAATAACTGCTGTGCATTGACTGTGCCACTTGTTAGTCGGCTCAAGAGCTGTGTCCAACCGCTACAGTGTTCTGAAAAGACAAGTGGCCACAAGGACCAAGTTGGTGCCTCAGTTCATTAAGGCAACTTGTCCTCTAGGGAAAGGAGGAGGGAAAGGAACCAGCAGCTCCTGGCTGCTTGAGTTTCCCGAAGTTCAGGCACATCGGGTCATCGTCAGTGGTTCACAGACATGGCATAAAATGACATAAATCACATGACGAGGAAGTCACTCTGTTCAGCTCTTTGTCGACCTGGTGGCGTCACATAAGCCTTGGCTGGTGCTGGGAGATCACCACTCACACCCCTTACTCCTTCTTTCTGACACAGAGAGAGGGCCTTGGGGTGGCTGCTTCTGCAGGTGCCTAGGCCAAAAATTCAGTAACACTGGTTGTGTTTCATTTGTTTTTAAGGTTATGTATAGTTAAGGAAAGTGGTACTGCTTTTCCATTTATAGGAGTGAATGTTCTTTGGAATTTGCAACTTACTTCCGTTTAATGTATCATTTATTTGTTTATTTTTGGCACATAATACACTCACCTGGCTGAAAATGAAATGTATATGAAAAGGTGCATATCGAAAGTCCTGCCCCCCAGCTCAGTCTCCCACCACCCAGCTCCCACCCACGTGACACCTTGACTCTCGCTTCAGTGCAGCTGTCCAAAGACTTTATGCAAATACGACCTGGTGTGAGTAGACGTTCTCCACACAGTGGTAGCGTACATTGTATACAGGCCTGTCTTCTGCATCCCTCTTTGCATAATAATATACCCTGGCAATCTTTCCCTATTTGTGTATTTCCTCGCTCTGTTCTGCTGCATAGAATTTCATTGTATGGATGTGCTATTGTTCATCAACCATTCCCTCCTGATGGACACTTAAGTTGCTTCTCATCTTGTGATACTGGATGCAGAGCAACTGGAGGTAACTTGCACTTACATCAGCCCACACGTGTGTGAGCCAGTCGGGAAGCAGCAGTGCTAGGCACTGCCAGCTCAAAGAGAACATTAGCTTGTAGTTTTGATGGACATTGACAAATCGGGGGTTATAGTTTTGTTCTTAACATTGTTTTATTAATTATAGATTTTCAGAGAAGATACTGTAGGGAAGCAAAATTTGCCACCCCCAAATGTGTCTCTTTGCCATGAGGATTTTTGGGGGCTGGTTCTTTTTAAGAAATGTAAGGCTCACTTCTTTTTACCTCTCCCTTAAGTGCCTAAAAGAATGTACATTGTAAAGCAATTATACCCCAATAAAGATGTTAAAAAAAAAAAATGTAGATAGAGGGCCTGGTCCAGGAAGAGAGCTCTGACCAGAGGGGACTACAGAGAGCATGAGGTAGGTTTGAGGAGCTGGGGGGCAGGGCCTGGAGATCAGAGTCCTCTCTGTGTCCCACTGTCTCAGCCTGGTGTGGCGAACATTTGTTTACCAAACATTTGCTTTCCCAGTTTCCTGTCTTCCTCCCCTTTGAAGTCCAGACCCCCTCATGTCCTTCTCCTTAGCTCAGAATTGTGCATAAGCCTCAACTGCCTGTCTGTGGGTCTCATATTCTTATGGGTACCCCACACATATGTAATTAAATTTGCTTTTTCTCCTGTTAATCTGTCCTATGTTAATTTGATTATTAGAGCAGTGAAATAACCAAGAAGGGTACAGGGTAAGTTTTTCCTGCCCTGCAGTACGAAGCCAAGGATAGTGTAGATGGGCTGAAATCTGTGATGTTGGCAGGTGACTGCATCGGGGAGGACTAACAGACATTGTCCTTAGCCCCAGAATTACTTGGCTGGGGAACAACCGGATGGGGGGCTTTGGGCACTGCACTGGGGCCCTGGCCTGGCGGGAAGGGTCCCAGGCGCCCAGACAGGGCTGCCCAAGGTCCCAGAGGCCTCCTGTTTCCTGCCTGTCCTGTTGGAGACTGGCCTTTTCTTTGTTCCTGGATTCCATAAGATTCCTCAGAATACGCTCCCTTTTGAGCCAGTTTGAGTGGGCTTCTCTTCCTTCTAAATCAACCCATCCTGAGACATTGCCGCTCCTGCCCCAGTGGAAGCAGCCTGATTAGGTGATGTTAGAAATTCCTGTTGCATCCGCTTCTTCCGGTCACATTTTAAAACTTAAGAATCTAAAGTTTGTCTTTGTTTTCTTTTGGAGAAGAATCCGGCTTGGCAAAGTTTCCACTTTTTGGTGCCTGCTTTTGTGGCTGACCCCTAATGGTGAGTATTAAGAATTTCTTCTTATATAGTCCAAGGGGCGAAAAGGAATTTTTCATTCAAAAATCGCAAAACAGATTTATGTTGAAAATAATAAGAACTTTGTTGGTGCCCTGGAAAAACACGTGAGAGAAGAGAGTGATCTCTTTTATTCGACCGGATTGTGGAAGTTAATGCACTGGTCTCAAGGGAAGTAAAAGGTCTTTTATTCACCTTGGCAATTTGTTTTCAATGAAAGATTCAGAATGCCTTTTCTTTTTTTTTTTCTTTTCTTTTCTTCTTTTTTTTTTTTTTTAATAAAGGAAGGATATAGTTAGTTTACCAGGGATTAGCTAGGGATTAAGGGCTGGTTGACTTTGCAATATTTCCACCTGCCTGCGGTGCATATACTTGAATTAACAATGGTAAATAATCAAAAGGGTATTAAAATGTGAGCCGGGCCTCAGAGGGACAGCCCGGAGTCTGTCTCTTTGTTGTATGGAGCCCTGGGGCCTCACTTTACCTCACTGGAATTCTATGGTTTTGAATTTATAATGTCCAGGGATCTGGGGGTTTCCGCAGGCCCCAGGATCGCTCCTGTCACACTGCAAATAGTCCTGATTTGGGGTAATTTTCTTTAATGCCGAAGTTGACTGAGAATCCAGGTTCTATTGAATTGAGAGGCCTGTTTATCACCAGCGTACAATTATCGGCAGAGACACACTGAAATGACACAAAGGGCCGTAAGAGTGGCGGGGCCGGAGGCAGGAAAAGGCCAGCGCCTGACCCTGACCATCATGACCACAGGACAAAAGATGTAACCCACAGGGAAAGATTCCCACCACAGGCACTTTTCACCTGCTTAGTTAAATTTAACTCAGAAGGCTGGGAGGATGATTTCATTAATTCTGTATCTCAGTGGAAATTGGAGCCTTAGAAGATCAAGGCTTCAGAATTCTCCTGGGGGAGGAAAGACATCAGCCACATGGCACAAAGGAAAACCTCTTTCTGTTTGTCAGAGGAAGACATAATTGTGCTGCTTCCTTACTGAAGAAGTTTACAAACATTTGCCAGTTGTCAGAAATAATTAGTCTAAAATTGTTTCATAAACCGTGGAACGAAACAGTACATGCCTTGTTGAGATCAAAGGGCTTCTGTTACCTTCTTGTAAATCCAAATGAAAGTCTTTTGAAAGTAAACTCCTGGAATGAGTGGTGGTTCCTGCTGAGTGCTGACGGCAGGGGGAGGGGAGCAGAAGGGTTAGGTCAGGAGCGTCAGACAGGAAGCTGAAGGAGCAGAGCCACGTCCAGGGAAAGTGGAGTGGGTCTCGAACAGCAGCAACCTCAGTGAGACAGACGGAGGACTTTTGCCACTGAAAGCTCAGGCCCTGCATTCCTGCCGGGATCTCGACGCAAGGCTGGTATCATGACCCTGACCTCCCAGGTGGGAGTTAGCGTCAGCTTAGCGTCCGGCTCAGATAAGCTCTGCGTAAAGGCAGCTCTATTACTTATTACTGTTATTCATTATTGATGATAGAAACTAGCAGACGTTCATTTCCTGAGGGCTTCATCAGTGCCAGGTGCTGGATGGGGGGTCTGGGAACTAACTCAGAACCGCGGAGGTCTGGCTTCTTTTCTTAATGGGAGGTCAGACACAAGGCCCCCTCACTGCACACCTGCTGGGCTGTGTCCTGTGTGAATGGTGCCCCCTAGAGGCGAGCCATGCAGCTGCCCCATAAACAACTCCAATGACAACCTTGGGAGAGGCACATGGAGAGGTCGTGGAGGGACTGGGGTGGGGGTGGGGGGGCATGGGGAAGCCTTCCGGGGAGCCCTGCTTGAAATCAGTGGGCAGAAGGGGGTGAGATGATAAAGATTTGATGGCTGAGAGGAAGCAGATAAAACAGAGCCTAACAATCAGAGTGCTTCCTCCCTCCCTCCCTTGCTCTCCCCCGCCATCACACACACACACACACACACACACACACACACACACACACACACACACACACACACACCATCTGCGCTCGATGATCCATCTGTCCTTTTTGGTGATGGTTGTTTGTTGCTATGCTGATCGGAAGTTTGATGTCTGAAGACCCAAACAGTCTCCTTGGAGTCACTTTTCCCTCCTCCTCACTGTCTCCAGCCCCACCCTCTCTGGATTCTCCCGGAGAATGGACCCTCTGCACACACCTTTGCAGCCTCCCTCACCCTGTGCTTGTCCTCTTGTCTGCTTGCTGGAGGGCAGGCAGCCCTGAGACACAGGGAAAGTCACCCGGACAGAGCTGTGGCCCGGCGGCAGCAGGAGCACAAGGTGAGGGCTGAGCTCTTGCCTATGCAGACAGGGAGACCATACGGCCTGTGAAGGTGGCCTGATCACTTTGAGGGGCCCCCGGAATTCAGACACAGGAGTTTCTGCTCTAACGTTATATATACAGCCTTGAAAAACCTCCTGTTGTGTGAAATCATGCACTGAAAATCAAACCAAAGCAAACAACACTTGAAAACAAATAGGGGTTATGGGTAAAAAAGGTTTAGGGCAGATCACTCAAAACCTATGGATATTTGTAACCAAAGCACTCACAGAAAAATAACAACTGCAGTAAAAACACTAACCCCATTCAATCTAGTTTCATGGTCAGAGAATCCTTCAAGCCTGTGCTTCCTTCTATGAGATGTAGGTCCTGGAGGGTATTCCCTCTGAATAGAGATGATTTTAAAAATGAAAATTAAAAGCCAAGGCAGGGTCTGCCTTTATATATGGATCCATTGTTTTACGGGAGAAATGGCTGCAGCTTCTGCTCACGGATATGCAAATTATCCCGGTAGCTTGACGGGCAGGGAGTGGAGAGGCTCTTGAAGCAACTGAAGCAGGACTGCTTGCATGAAAGGAAGGCATTTCTAGAGCTTTTAAGCATTTTTTTAAATTGATGAGTATCGCTTTTCAAGTGGGAGAAAGCTTGCCCCCGACCGTTTCAGGCCATCGCTGCGCTTGGGGAAATCATGCGTTCGGAACACAGAGGCCCGCCTTACACCCTGTCCCTCCTCCGACAATCCACGGTCTCTGTGAGCTACTTCTCGCCTGCGTGGTTGCTGAATCCTCCCGCTGCTTAACCCTTGCAGTGAACCAGGGGCTGCCCTCCTGTCTGTGCTCAGAGGGGCCTGGCTTGAGGTTCTCAGGACCTTTTGAACAAGGGCCCACATTTTCATTTTGCACTGGGATGGCAAGTTCTGTAGCTGACCCTGCCTCTGACCTGTCCCACTGCCCCTCGCTGGGGAGTGGACAGTACGTAAGGTGAGAGGTGGGGCCTAACAAAGATTGTCCATCTTCAGGGACGGCAGCGAAGGACGGGAGCTGGGCTCCTCCTGCCTGCCTCCCCACGAGCTCAAACCAGTCCACTGCCAAGCTGGGCTGATTCTCCCACCCAGAACCCTACTCTGGCCTCCGTCATCCCTGCCTGGACCAGCTCGGTTCCTCTACCACCCACTACCATCACTACAGCCAGACGGTCCCTTTGTGGTACAAGTATAAGCACAAACTCCTGGCCTAAACCTCCCAGTGGTTTTGCATTTTCCTTACAAGAAATGACAAGATGTTGAGGCATTTGTAAGGCCCACCCGGCTGTGCTTCCTGTCCAGGCTCACGTGTCTCCCTAACTCCCCACGCTCAGGCAAGACGGGCTCACCTAGTTTCTCCAGGTCCCGTCCCTTCTTTTCGGTTCTTCTTTCTTTTCACACATGTGGGTCCCCCTGCTAGGTGGACCTATATCCCTGATGACTCATCCCATCTCAGGCTTTGCCTGGAAATGCCTCCCTTCCAGAAGGCTCTGTGGTCCCACGGGCTGCATGAGCCTCATACGTGTGGCCACAAGGCTCTGCCTCTCTCCACCGCTCCTGACATCTGTCTCCCCGCTGTTTGCCCACTGGGCTCCAGGAGGAGAGAACCGTGACCGACACACTCAGCACTGCTTCCTCAGTGCTTGAACCATAGGAATAAATTATGCTCAGTAAACATCTACACCTTCACTGAGGAATGAGGGATTGGAAGCTCAGTAAGGTAGGGGGTACCCTCTATGTCTTAGAAACATTCAATTCTCAGATAAAAGACACATTCGAAACATATTATGGTGATCATGTGAAAACAGGCAAGAAAAGTGGTACCTCAGTTCACCAGGGACCCCTCTGGACTGTTAACATCAGTAGGACATGTGAATCCTTGGTGTTAGGGATGGCCCTCACGTGCATTCTTGAACATTCTGGAGTCAGTCCTCACTCCATGGAGAATCTGCACGAAGACAAATAGATTTGGGTCTTTGGTGTTTATTTAATGCTAGCGTCACAGAGTTACTTATGGTCAAATACCTCCAAGTTACGTACTTTGTAATTTCAAATGCCTTTCCTTTTTTTTTTTGAAGTGTAAAAGCAATACATCCTCATTAAATTTCTGCAGAATTTGAATGTTTATGTATTCTGTAAAGTGAAATCCCCTCCATTTAATCCCCCAAATTCTCCAGCAACGTTTTTCTCAGTAGGCATGTGGTAGTACCTCATCATTATTTTACAAAATTGAGAGCAAACGAAAACACTCTCCTACAGCTTGCTTCTTTTACTTAACAAATTGTGGATACCTTTCTAGGGAAGTTCATATCAACCTCATTCTTTTCAACTTTTCTCTGTTGTTTGGAAAAATGAAATGACCATAGTTTAATTAGTACTGGTATCGATGGTAGCATAGGTGTTCCCAATTTTTCACAATTACAAACCATGCTGCAAAGACCATTTTAAAAAATATGTCCTTGCATAACTGGGTGATAGTTTCTTTAGGATAAATTCATTCCTAGAAATAGAATTCATGGGGCACATGGCATGAACATTTTAAATATTAATTGACATTGCCAAATTGCTTTCCACAAAAAGGTTGTGAAAAATGTACACTCTTAACAATCTGAGGGAACTCGTACCAGAGAGGATGCTTTTGGGTGCAAGTGACAGAAAACCCAACTCAAAATGGTGTAAACAAATGAAACGTTTTGGATCATATAATAGGGAAGTTTGCTGTAAGGGCTTCACAGGTATGATCAGTGCCAGGCTGTCTCGGGCTCCTAGCTCAGCTCTGCAGTCTGCTGTGTGTTCGCCTTACTGTCAAGACAGGTCTCTCCTCACGGTCACAGGAAGGCTGCCAGTAACAACTGGGCTACATGGTCCAAAGTCCACATCAAGGGAATAGAACTTCCAGAAAGCACTCTGATCTGTTTCCTACTCTGATCTGGCTCACATGCTCACCCCAGAACTACTCAGTGTGGCCAGGGCAATGTGATGCAGGGGCTGGTTTAGCACAGGGTCACGTGCTCTAGCCCTAGCGTTGGGTGTGGTCAGTGTGGTGCCCACACCATATGGAGGAAAATGAGTGTGCGGCCTGGGCCCATCCTGTGCTCAGAAGTGCCCTGTGCTTGGTTTCCTGCTCTGCTGTCATTATCTTGAAGTTCCTAAAAACTGTTAAACAAGGGGCCCCATATTTACATTTTGCGCTGGGACCTACAAATCATGTAGCCAATCATAGATGAAAATTGGGGCTGCTTTTAGAAAACAGAGAGAATGTAGCTGAGTTGACAAAACATAAATGTCCACTGCAATTGTCTGTGCTAAATAATATGATTTAAACTTAATTTTTCCTTGAAGAGCTTTATCACTTGCTGTCTCTAATCCTTTGCCCTGTACATAAAACGACGGGGCTAGGCTAGGTGGTCTCCACCAGTGTTTCAGTTCTGCTATTCTCCAATGGATGTCTGCCTCCTTAGGCTGTGAAAATTAATCTGTACCTTGCACCAAGTTTATGGACACAGTGATATTAAATATGAGTTGTCTCAACTCTACTGGTATTAAAAAGTGGCTGCAAATTAAAAGGAAAAAAAATACTATGTTACAAGAATGAGAAAACTAAATTGATGGGCCCCAGCTTTATTCAGCTCTTAGAAACCACCAGTGTTATGGAAAATTTCCAAAAAGAAAATCCCAAGGTTTAGGGCAAAGCTTTTTGAAGATTCTTGTAAATTAACAGCTTGGTGTAGTGGATTAGACATATTTTCTTGGTCTGCTTTCTTTTCACAAGTAACCGAATTATTTTCCTCTAATTGAGGAGCAAAGCAGACACTTAAATGGCATCTATGTATTTCTGATGTGCTTCCTTTTCATCCTCATAAATGGTTCCATCTATATAATTCAGTGAAAATTATATTATATGGCCATCTTTCAAAAAAGCAATTAATATTTACTTCAGCTATCAACATGTGAATATATTCTTTTGTAAGAAGAAAAAACCACAGAAAATGGAGCATTCCAGGTGAGGTTAAAGTCCTTTCTGACCAACTCTCCCACCTCCCTTTCCCCGTCACTCATTCTCCAACCTCATCCCTTCTCAGAGGTAATAATCGTGTTATTGGTTCTGTATCTTCTTCTAGAATGTTCTAAGCATTTAGATATCTATGTATCTCCACAGAAAATGTCTAAAATTGTGTTGTTCTGTTTTGACATAAAAGGCATCATGTCTCTTTTGACTTTTTTGGAAACTCAACACAGCTTGGAGAGTTTTCCACGTAATCGTACACAGACCCACCTCATCCTTTTTTAACTGCAGGAGAGTTTGTGCTGTAGAGATATTCCACATTTTATAAAGCCTCCATGGGCCTTTAGGGTGATTTATGTTTTTCACTATTTCACAAAAAATGCTGCAGTGAACATTCTTGTGTAGGCCTTTGAGGGCAGCGTGCTTGCCCAGCACGGACACCGAGAGGCGCTGGGAGGCCACAGGACTTGTCACTTTCGTAGTCTCCTTGAAGTGGACTCTGAAATGGCTGACTGGAGGCTGGTCCCAGGATCCACCCCTCTGAGGAAGCAGGGGCAGTGCAACTGGGCAGAGGGGGCCTTGGGCTGTGATGAAGCTGTACCAAGGCCTCAGTCACCCTGTGGTTGGGGGGTGCTCTGGAGCAGAGATGGCCCTTCAGAGTTATTCCAAGCTGGGGCCATGGGCCAGGGGTCTGCACCCCACATCACTTGGTCACTGGTTGTGGACCGCCTAGGGGAGGGGTGTGACCTTGAAAGGTCTTCAGCAATTCCAGAGATGGGGGAGACAGGGGTGCGGTGCTGGGGGCTTGCCTGTGGCCATCAGCCGGGAACACAAGGGGCAGCATCTGGAGGGAGAGCTCTGGTCAGAGCCCCACAGGCCCACGGGGCCCTCACATTTAAAGAACAATGTGAGATTGCCTTTCATGGGCTGCGGACTTGCAGGGCGGATGCGGTTTGGAGAGGATGCTTGTCAGATAACCTGAGGCAGGATCGGAGACACCCAGGACGGGTGCCACCAGCCTGCAGTTCTGTAGTCATTTCCAGAAACAGGGAGCTGCTTAGACGACGTCATTCTGTAATCACGGGGCAACTTTACCACATCTTCTTCCCCTTCAAGGCAAATGGCTTTGAAGGTGACGTCCAGGCTCTGACAGCTTGTCAGATGCCTCTGACCAGCGCCCCCTTCAGAGCCACTGAGACTCTAATAAATGTAAATTTTCATCTCGTAACACATGCTGCTCTTGGGCGGCCACCTCAGTTGAAAGAACGTGAATAAATTGGGGTTTGATAACTTGTTTTTATACCATAAATTTTATTAAACATAAATGGGAATCATTAGATGAAACACTTAATTAAAACCATGGCCAAATTAGATAAATGCTAAGGAGAGTGCTCTAAATTTATCGCCCAATGATCTATAGGCTTGCTCAGTAATATACTCCCGGAAACCTCCTTAATGAAGCTATTAAGTGCATAAATATCATATGTGCCAACTGGCAAAATTTAGTGACGATCTATCCCAATTTACTTGCTAAGTAAATAAACCCCCTTGAAAGAAGCCGCTAATTTATGCTGCTGCTGACCACAGGACAGAATCCCTCACCTGCCTGAGAACAGACCTTTCAAAATAGGCGATTCATTGTACCCAGAGGCTGGGAAGCGAGGAGCTGCTCGCCACCAGCAGGCCACGGGCTCTTGAAGTTTTGCTCTATCTCTTGAACTTTCCTTCTTGCAGATGCAGAGCGTACACCATGGGCCACAGGCGCAGCCAGGCTTTAATTCTCTATGCTAAAATCTGCTTGGAGTCTGGTGGAAGCGCCTTCTCTACTGGCAGAGGTGGGTGAGGTCCTGGCTGACCTGGCACCTGGGAGGCCCAGGAGGGCTGCAGGTGTGTGCAGTCTGGAGGTGTGGCCTGGAAGGCACCCAGGCTCCCTATCCCCACCCTCAGAGCCTCACTTATCTGAGCTGCCAACCTTCCCTGCTAACAGATGGATGACCTCCGGCTCCTCATTCAGGAGCTCAGGAGGGACAGTGGGGTGTAAGGATACCTTGATGGTGATCTTGGCCCAAGGCGGGCACTACAGGACTCGGCCCACCTTCCCTGTAGACCTCACTGACATCCCCCACTGCTCTTGCGCTGCAGCTGCATCGGCAACTTGACAAGCTGCCTTCCCGCCTCCCCCAGTGTCCTACCCACCCCCTGCCGCGACTAACCACATGGCTGTCCCCTCTCCCACTGCTGCCCAGGCTGCCAGTTAACCTCTCCTCCCCGCGTCTAAACAGGACTCGCGCTCCTGTTGTCCCTCATCCTGCCTTTTGCTTATTTCATAGTGCTTGTCACCACCTGACATATTTTATATTTATCCGTTTATGGTCTGTGTTCCCTCCCATGAATGTAAATGCCAGTGGAGCCGAGGGAGGCAACAGTCGCTTTTTTTATTCACTATGAATCTCTAGCGCCTAATTCAGAGCCTGCCACACAGTAGACGCTCACCAATTTTTTAATAAACAAATAAATGAATGGATGAATGAATGAATAATCAGCAGCAGCCACTTGGAGCCCGCAGTGTGCTGGGACAGGAGCTACAGCTGTCCCCAGAAGGGTTCTCAGCGAGCAGCGATCTGCAGTGAAGTCAACAGGAGACGACAAACAAGCAGGCTGAGTTCTCTCACAGGAAGTGAAGTGCGGGTGGGAAGCAGCACACGGCGGGGAGAGTGGGGACCGGCCAGGTTCCCTGGAGAAGTGAAGTGGAAGCCAAGTCCAGAAGGGGAGCCCCCAGGTGAGCAGGGCTGCGGAGGTGATTGGCTGAATGATGCCAGAGCCAGAGAGCCAGGGCCGGAGGCTTGGTCCTGGAGGTGCATGGCTGCTGATGGGAGGGGCAGCCTCGGGGCAGCTCGATCACTCTGAGAACGTGTGCAGCGAGCGGGGAGGCTGAGGACAGACCAGTGATATGCATGGGCCCCGAACGAGACCAACGGCAGCTCCCAGAGGCAGGGCGGAGCCAGGAGCTGAGGGTCCCAGCTGAGAGGAGAGACCAGCCATGGGCTCCATCAACCCAGTCACCTGCTCCTCTGCGGCCAAGAAGGGTCAGGTCAGGAGAAGCATGTTGGCCTGAGCAAGGGGCTGCTGTGGGTGACGGGTGGGTCCAGGCCAATCTGCAGTGAACGGAGGGGAGCATGACAGGGTGAATGGAGATGGGGGGGGCACTCTTTCCAGAAGTTTGGCTGTTGGATCTGTAACAGTAAATCCCACTGACTGAGGAGAAACCTGAAGCTCAAGGCTGCTCAAGTGGACGCAGGTCCATCTACCTTCACGGCATGGTTGTGGTCATTCTGATAGTGGGTCCCAAGTGCAGACATGTTTGGGAGATGCTTTCAGGTGGCCCAGGGACATGGCACCAAGGGACCAGCCACGTGCATACCAGCCCTGGCCTTTCCAGCTCTGTTAGTCCTGAACACAGAAGCAGAAAGGCTCCTGGAGGTGCTAGCTTGTCTCCCACCTGCCAATCTGCCTTTCTCCCCAAGACAGGAGCCTTGGCAGACAGCAACAGCTGCTGGGTGCCTAACACGCTTTCTCTGAACCGATTTCTAAGATCACCTTATAGTGCAGGCGAGGGAGGTTTGTTTTTATGAAGGTGGAGATATCAAGTTTCTTGTAAAAATACATTCAGTAAGAAAGTGAGTCAGTTGAATAAAAAAATAAAACGTTAAGTAAACCAGGTAATGTTAACTAACAGGAAAGATGCAGGGCCATGGGAGGTGGTGCAGGGTGGGACACCCTGGGCCCTCTATAAGGCCACAAGGACAGTCTGACTTCACATGTTCCAGTGAAGGAGTGTTTTGTGACCATGGGTCTGGGGATTCTATTTACCATTCTACTAGGTTGAATAGTGTCCCCTAGAAATTCATGTCCACTGGGAACCTCAGAATGTGACCTATTTGGAAGGAGGGCCTTTGCACATATGATTAGTTAAGATGAGGTTGTACTGGACTAGGGTGGATCCTAATACAATGACATCTGTGCTTGTTAGAGGAAAATCTGGACACAGAGACAGCCATACAGGAAAGAAGGCCCTGTGATGACGAAGGCAAAGACTGGAGAGACACAGTCACATGCTGAGCAACGCCACGGATCGCCAGCAATGCCCAGAAGCCGGAAGAGGCACGGAAGGATTCTTCCCAGGCACTTTGGAGGGAGCATGGTGGTACTGCCAACACTTGATTTCAGACTCACAGCCTCCAGAACTGCGAGAGGGTCCCGTGCTGGTGTTTTAAGCCCCCGGTTTACAGTCGTTCGTTACAGCAGCCACGGGAGACCGATACGGCCACATTCTGAGAACGGACTGTTAAACGATTGATTAATAATTAAGAGAAATGACCTTCCTTCGCGTATTGGTGAGCATTTTGATATTCATAACATTTCTTTCTTGCAGTTAGCATCCTGGGTGAACCCTTCTGAGGCCATAAGGTAAAAACGTAAGATTCTGACCCAAACCGTGGAGTCTTCATAATATTAAGTGTATTTTATCTTAAAAAAATTAGAAAACTACCAACCTTTGCATGAAAAATAGATTTTTGTTGATGTATAGTTTTGTTTCCAATAAATTTGACGAAATCAGGCAGTGGGACAGGTGGCCTGGCTTGGAATAATGATCCTTCTGGATATATCCTTGTCTTGTTCTCATTTACAGCCTTAGAGGTATAAAAGCATATTTTCATAAAACCAACCCTTCCATGTGAAAGCAGATTCATCATTTGGATCCATCATTAATTTCCCAATGATGTGCTCACTGGCCATAAAGAAGACTTAGAGCTCTTTATGAAAATTTTATTCCGGAGAAAATGGTCTTGGAACATGGTTTGCACCGACCTCTTTTAACCTCTGGTTCCCTGTGTTATTATTATTAAGTAATAATGCTGCTTGCTGCCAACATCATTCTTCCCTCGTTGTACTTCAGAAGCCAAGTGATGCCTTTTTGAGTGGAGGACAAGTCAGCACTTAGTCATCGCCTTGTGCTCCTGGCCGGTCCCCATACGCCTGCCTGGATTGCAGTCTTACATCATCTTTTACGAGTACATCAACTTATTTGCAATTAAGTTTAGACTGTCTAATAAAATCTGGTGACATTTTAGCTTACAGTTTATGTCCCAATAAAAGGCTCCAAATGTTATTGCCATAAGAATCCATGTGACAACCCAACATAAACCTTTCCTTTCGGGCTGGACAGCTGACTGTGCATTTAGAAACAGTCGGCAGGGAGATGTAGGGACCGGGGTTGTGATGTTGACGATTCCTGAGGGCTTCATTTCCACTCTCAAGTTCCCCTTCTAGAGCTCAAAATGGTTCATCTCTTTCTTTCCTTCCTTATTACTGTGGTAAGAATACCTGCCATGAGACCTACCCTTTTAGCCTGTCCACTGGTACTAACTACAGGCACCGTGTTGCTCAGCAGACCTCTAGAACTTACTCATCGTGCATAACTGAGCTTCATGCCTCTTGAACATCAACTCCCCACTTCTCCCTTGCTCCAGCCCCTGGCAACCACCAATCTACTCTCTGCTTCTGTAAGTCTTGACTGTTTTAGATTCCTCATGGAAGCGGATCATGCAGTACTTGGCTTATTTCAGTGAGGATCATGTCCTCCATGTTCATCCCCGTGGTTGCATACCGCAGGATCTTTTTAAAGGCTGAAAAGTATTCCATTGTGTGGATGCCCCACATTTTCTCTATGTGTCCATCCATGGACACGTAGGTTGTTTCCATGGCTTGGCTACTGTGAACAGTGCTGCAATCAACATGGGGGTGCAGATATCTCTTCAGATCCTCATTTCAAATTCTTTTGGATACATGCTCAGAAGCGGGATTCTGGGTAGAAATGGGTTGAGATGCCTCTGGTCGCGGACTTCAGGTTTGGGCAATAGATGTGAGAGCTGAAGAAACTGCAGAGGAAGTCAGGCTTGCTGGCAGGTTTGTTTCTGGTCCTCAGAATATTGGGCCTCGGAACTCAGCTTAGGAAAGGCTACTTTCATTACAGTCGTTTAGGAGCTAAATAAACATGGAGCTCAGAGATTCTCAACTAGGAATTACCTCCTCCCCGGGACATCTGTCTGGGGACATTGCGGTTGTCATACTTGGGGTGGTACAGGCATCTAGTGGGTGGGGGCCAGGGATGCTGTTGAATATACCACAGTATGCAGGACAGCCCTCCACAGAGAATGACCCAGTCTAAAATGTTGATGGTTACACGGCTGAGAAACCCTGGTCTAACTGAACCCTCTTATGACACACAGCCTTGACTTTCAGTCCTTGTCTTTTGTCTTTGAATCACGTTTTGCTCAGTTCCTGAAAGTGATGGGTCTGCTCTGAATGAAATTATGGATAACGCGGGGTGCTGGCTGGCTGCTCTCAGCCCTTGCTTGGTTTGGGAACGCAGTGAACAGCAGCCCAGAGAAGGCTCTCGGTGTTTATGGGAGAGAGGAGACACAAGGGTGGATGTGCAGCCTGGGTTTGGGAAGGAGGAGAAGAGACCCAGTGAGCTGCTTCAGTTTCCTGCTGAAGGAGATGCAACTTAGAAGCAGTGACTTCATTTTCAAATAGAAAGTGCAACCTATGAGGAAACAAAGCCTCCCAGTGCTTTGGAAGTAGCCTTCCAGAAGCCAGCAGGATTTGTGACCCGGAACTATACTAACGGGTGCTCTGAATGAACCTCTAGGTATAACTCGGATGAAGTGTGGAATATTCCATGATTCTTATGCCTTAAAAGCTTACAGATTCCAGAAATGAAGCCCGTTCATGCATAAAATATCGGCTCTCAGAGCACAGTCATTTTCATGCTTGCCCTTGTGTGGGGATCTGTGTTATAAAGTATTGTGGTTAGACCCGAAAATCCTCCACCATGTGGACACAGACCCCGCTATTTATAGCTCTCCTCATGGTGACTTACAGCATTAATCTCCGTGTGAATTCCGAGCTCCCAAACGCCTGCCTAAGGAGATATGCTAAAGCCTTTTCCCTGTGGCATTCTTCCAGACAGAATTTAAGAGACACCAGAGGATGGCACATTTATACTGAGTTTGCAGTTTCCTAAACATGAAGAAGATGAACGGCTCTCAGTTAAGGAACACAGGTCAGATAGGAGCTTGAAATCGAGTATTTGAGCTGACACAGGAGAGAAACCAAGAGGCTTCGTGAAGTTTGCTGTGTCTCTAAGCTTCCTAAGACCCTATGATTAGAAACAGATTGAGGTCAGAGAGTGTGGTCCTATTTGAATTAATGAAAGAGCCAAATTGCCCAGAGGGCTGGTTTCCGCACTGCGTGTCTGACTGCTGGGTTCTGCGGTGGGGGAGGGAGGCGGCAACCAGGCCCCTCCCGTCCCTTCTGCTCCACTCCTCGGTTGTTTGGTAATTTGAGATTCCAAATAAGATTTCTGTGGAGAAAAAGACAAAATGACTCTGCCATTAATTCCAAGGAGTAGGGACTGTTAATGAAGAGATCGAAGTGAACTATTTAAGAAGAAAAAATCAGTTTGTTTACTCCTGAATGCTGGAAAGGCTTGGAGAGCGGGGAGCAGACGGACCTTGTCAAACAGACCCTGGTCAACCTCAGTGCCCATTCGCTAGTCCCGTGACCTTAATGCAGCTGAGTCTCAGTCTCCTCACCGTCAGTGGGGAGAGGAACTCATGCCTTCCAGGGGCACCACGAGGACGACGGGTAGTCATACGAGAGCTCATGTGAGCTGCGTCTGCTGCAGAGGGTCTGGGCAGTGGACCTGCCTCAATGCGCACAGGAAGCGGGGTAATGGATGGCAGGGGAGGGGAGGTCTTGGTTTCCCACCTTGGGTTCCTGTTGACCGTTGTAAGTCCCGGATCATTTCGAGTTCTTTGGTAGCAAGCAACAGAAACCAACTTTGCTACGTTAAGCAACAGAGGAGTTTCCGGGAAGCCTATTGGGTGGCTGGTACATAGAGTGGACAGGAATGCTGGAGACTCAGGCTTAGTCACAGGAAAAACACCAGGGAAGCCCCTTCAGATGCAGCACCAAGCCAAGAGTTGCTAGGCGTTGGTGTTTGCTTTTCTCTCCTGACCGGAGTCCCTCCAGCTTTGTCTGGGTCACCAGCTGGTTTCTTGCAGGAAGGCAGAGCACCTTCACTGAGATGCACTAACTGAGCACAGGGAGGGCAGCGATGTCCCCGAGTCAATCCAGGCGCCGGAGCCAACATGCTAAATGCCCCTTGCAGGCCTCGTGTGACCTGAGCCTCCTGCCCACCCTGCATGCCCAACGCTGCCTCCTCCCTCTGCCAGCTGGGTAAGAACTTATCTTCAGTTCCAGCTCAGCTGCTCCAGCTTGTTTACCTGAAGTCAGGATTTTGCAGAAGCATCGGTTGTCACTGCAAACATTCCTGTCATCAGGCAGGCAGGCAGGCATCAAGTGGCATATCCTACCATCTTAGGGAGTTTGAGAGTCTTTCTAACGATGCACTCCAAAACTTGGTCTTACATCTCAAAAGTTTCCGCGTTAACTAATAACCAGAGTCCCCAGAAACAATGTGAGCAAACATTCATTTCCAGTGCCTTTCCAAGGCGGGGCTTGGATGTGTGGGTTTGAACTAATGCTGAATAAATTATCGGCACGTGTTACCCCATGTAAATGCCGGGCTCCCCATTTGTTCCCCTGTGCAATGACTTCTTTAGTATTCTGCGGGGAAATTTCTTAGATTTGTTTCAAAAGTATCTCATTCTGTAAGATGATATGAAGAAACCTAGGGAAGAAAAAAGAATACAGGCATATAGGCTAATTAAAAAAAGAGGCTGCAAAACTAGGAGAAACAAACAGCCTCTGTGTTTCAGGCTTATGAAATATTTATCCAGTGGCAAAGAAGACACTGTAGTCAGAAATGAACTTTGCCAAGTAATTACTTTTGATCCCAGCAAGATGCATTCAAAGGCCTTCAGGTAAACATCATCCTTGTTGGGGGGGAGGTGAATTGCAAAGCAACATTATGCTTTTAAAGGAAACAAGGAATGAATCAAAGTCAGACACTTGTCCAAGTCCTGTTGAAAAGTGTTCCTGTGTGAAATTTTCTAGATGATGCTCCGCGAGCGCGGACTGGAGATGTGAATAGGGGAAGATGAGATATGATCAAATGGTGGATGAGAAAAGCCACAGGCAGCAAAACCAGAGCGGATTTTCCTCCTTCTTAAGGAAACTTTAAATAATGCACATGTATTTAAAAATAGAGTATGTGCGGCTAATTTTGATAAAGATCTTTAAAATGACATTAAAATGGAAATACACTCAAACTAGGCATCTCCTGGGAAAATGTCACTAGTTATGTTGCATTTGTTTTCTGTTTTGTTCCCATGCCCTTGTGAAAACAGCTTTATCTTCAATACTCCCAGAGTGGGAGGAAGAGTTTTCAGGGAGACGGGAGCATTTTTTTTTGTTTTAAATGAATTCTCTGAGGAGAGTATGCTCTGTGCCATGCACACAAACTTTTCCAAGGACTGAGTTTACCCGGTGCTGCTTCCAGGGGTGGGTTTGCCTGTATTCTTTTACCTTTAGATTTTAAGCCTCTGTCAGAGGGGGCCCGGGTCCATTCCCGAGCTTATTAAGTATTAAGAAATAACA